AGAAGAGGGGACACATGTTGATGTAGAAGAGACATGAAGAAGAGGGGACACATGTTGATGTAGGAGAGACATGGAGAAGAGGGGACACATGTTGATGTAGAAGAGACATGAAGAAGAGGGGACACATGTTGATGTAGAAGAGACATGAACAAGAGGATTTTGCATAATACGTGACCCTAAAATATGTTTTTCTACTCTCCATGTTTTCAATCTGCAGCCCGGCCCTGTCAGACCGGCTGGAGCAAGTTCGACATCAGCTGCTACTTTGTCTCATCGGTTTTTAAAAACTGGACGTCAAGCAGACAAGAGTGCATCGACCAGGGAGCGGACCTGGTGGTCATAGACAGCCTGGAGGAACAGGTGAGGAAGAGGGAGAAAAAGAGGAAGAATAAACTGGGTCATATCTAAAACATGTGTCTGTTGTCCTGGAGGATTAACAGAGCAGAGGCAGCTTGAAGAATGCTTCGGAGCCGATTCTAAAAGTGGGTTTTATCCCTTTGTGTTTATTTGCACCAATAATGGAGGGGTGACGGAGCGATGTGGCTGAGAAGAAGTCACATGCACAAAGATAAGAACAATGACTGGCTTTAAGGAGGATCCATATGAGGTTGACATGCTATGTTGTCCAATTAATTGAACAATCAGTTAATGTAATAATGGGGTTGAGAGTTTTGCATATAGAAGAAACTGGAGAGTAGGAAACTGTACTGTGTTTAATAAAATGTAACATTCGTAAGGGTCCATAACAGTTTTGACTGAAATAAAGTTGCATATTGATGTGTCCAGTTTTCTCTTTCTGTTACACTTACAGGAATTTCTCAATATGTTAATGCAGAAAGACCAAAATGCCTGGATTGGTCTGACTGACAGTCTGAAGGAGGGGACTTGGATGTGGGTGGATGGGCGCAACGTCACCACAAAGTAAGTTCAACAGAAAGATTGTGAATGAAGTCTTTTTTAATCGTCACACACATTTACACAGCACCACACACACAGGGGAATTTGGTGTCGGCCCTCTGAGCATCGCCATCCCAGTGTTTTGTGTTAGCCTGTCTGCCAAACAGCTTTCTGTTTTGAGAAGTGTACATTTTGTTTGGATTTCGGCAGTCCCTGTGGGCAAGTGCGGAAGTGTTTCTGAGCACCAGAGTCCATTAAGGAAACTTTTTAGTGCAGCAGGTTTGCAAAATCTGCGCTGAAGGAGTTTCTGGATGATTTTGCCATGTTCATACCTAGTATCATTTATCACAATCATTGAAAATACATTTGCAGAAATAGTCTTGTTTGTTAATATACAGTAGTCTGGTATCTTTAGAACAAAGATCAGTGATGGTTTTACCCCAGTATTTCGTTGAAGAAAGACTTCATTTGATAATAATCTTACACAAACTGCACACAATATCTGTCAAAATATGTTTTGTTTCTAATCCTTTGTGAAACAATGAGGTAATGTAAAGTTTGAAGGACAGTTTTAATGCATATCCATCACATTCAGGAAGGATTGTCAAACTGAGACCTTGTGTGAATGAGTTTTAAAATATAAAGGGGTAATGATGGGGGCAAAAAAATAATGATTACATACGATCACATATCTTTATTGTAAGCAGATGTGTGGACTTGTTTTTCTGATGACCTTTTACTTCTCACATTTGAACACAAATACCTGTACTTCCTACTTCTTACATTTTCAAAACAGGCTGGTAACTTTAGTTTTAATCTGCGTTTGGTGGCGTGATCATTATTATAGGAGCTTTCACACCTGAGTATTTTACCCGTACTTTTCCCGTTTAGTTCCGTTAGTGCCTGGAATTTTGCGTTCACACCAAAAAGAGAACTTAGTTCAGATAACTTTTTCCCCCATTTTTAGTGCCTGCTAGAGAGGTGGGACTTTCCTGGTGAGAAAAAAGTTCCAATTTCTGATTGGCTGGGCGAATTGCAATCCATGCCCCGTAAAACTCAGAAAAGTTTTTTTAAGCCGCCATTGTATTTGCTGGCATTAGCATAATTAGCATTAGCATTAGCCCCGCTTACCAACGGAGAGAGAATAACTTATGGCAACACAAAAAAAAACATGGGAACGGTGGAGATGAGGAGGTGTCGGCGTTCTGGTGATTTACTCGGAAGGCTTCAGTAGAAGCTGCTGGGAGTCCCAGCAGCTTCTACTGAAGCCAGCCCCCAACTCCGGGGACTTCCGGCCGGGGACTTCGGGTGGCACTCAGGGAACTTATTCCCTTGTGAACGCGATCGGCTCATAGTTCCATGGGGGTACTAATTGCTGGGAATAATTGCTAGGAACTAAGTAGGGCAAATTACTTGGTGTGAAAGCGGCTCTTGCGTGCCTGAACACGATCCGTGTATCCATCATTTCCTGGTCTTCTCTAAAGAAGAGGGACCAATGAAAACGTTTTCATGTTGCCGTTGTTAAGCATGGAAACATTCATTAGCTAACAATGACATTATTGTTCTATTAATATAAAGGGAGGTCAGGTACTCTTTAAAACAGATGGTAGTTATGGCTACTTTTTACTTAAGTACATTTCAAAGCCCATACTTCTTTACTTTGACTTAATAAGTTTAGTCAGTACTTCTACTTTTACCAGAGTATTTGTAAACACGAGTATCTGTACTTCTACTTGAGTAAAGGATGTGTGTACTTTTGCCATCTCTGATTGTAAGAAGCCTTTGCCTCCCTGTTATCTGTCCGTCAGGTTCTGGCAGCCCGGGCAGCCCAACAGCTACAACGGGAACCAGGACTGTGGAGAAAATATTCAGAAGACCACAGGAGTCGGACAGTGGAACGATGACGGATGTTTCGCTGTACAGAACTGGATCTGTGAGAAATAACAAGGATCTACACAGTTAGAATTAGGGTGGCTGTGGACTCTGAACCTAATATACATCTTTGATTCATTGATTCTACTTTAAAACGTATTTGTTCATTATCATGAACAGGGACACTGAAGTCATTGACACCTAAACTGTCTGCTAATTCTGGGTTAACTCACAAGAACATCAATTATGTATTAATCCGCATCTGAAAATAGTCCCATGCAAATTATTCCTTTCTCCAGTTTGAGGATCATTTACCAGAAACCAGAAAGCCTTTTTCAGAAATTATAGTTATATTATTATATATTTGTGGACAACTTTTAGAGGTTTTACTCCTCAGTGTGGTAACCATACACTTAGACATAAACATACACGACATACTATAATAATAATAATAATAATAGTAAACTGGCAGGGGTGTCAAACTCAATTTCATCGCGGGCTACATTAGCATTATGGTTGCACTCAAAGGGCCGGTTGTAACTTTAAGACTATATAAAAATATAAAATAATGTATTATATTACATTATTACCTCTGCATTGGATTATTATCGGATAGGGTAATAACTACGTCTGAAAGCAGAAGTCTCGGCCAAATAATAGCAAGTCTCTTCTGTGCCCAGGTCACAAAACAAGATGCATTGTGGGACATGTAGTTTATTGGCAACGTGCTTCTGTAAAGCGGCATGTAACCGTATAATAAACGTATTATATTCTTTGCAAGCTCTTGCGGGGCCACATAAAATGAAGTCGCGGGCCGGATTTGGCCCCCGGGCCTTGAGTTTGACACCCCTGTCTTAAAGGGTTGGTTCAATGTATGTATTTTGTTATCTTGCTATGTAGATTGTTTCATTTATTTGCAGATTGTTTAATGTTAATCAGAGATTGTGTCCTCCATACAGCCAATTATCATTTAATATTAAGTTTTGATGACTTTGATTCAGATCATTCATAATCATTTCATACGGTTACCAGATGATTAGGTAGTGTTTTATACAATGCATTATAAATTAATTGGCTGTAGAAAAACAGATTTTGCCATCAAAGTCTATTCTACTGTAATTATTCTATAGCCTTTGGCATAGCTTTAGATATGTTTGCAAATGAACATCTGTGTGATTCATGAATATATATAAGCATGAAATGAATGTATATGACACATAATGTATGTTACAAAGCACATACATACACCATTTGCATATGGTATGAATAATTGACTGCATTTCTGTGTAATGATTAAATGAACTCTCCTCCCCTTCTCCTAAATACATTCACTGTTGTGTTTGATGTGTGTGTTAATTAATCTGGTAATTAATTATAAAAGATACGTTCTCCTCGCTTCTCTGTTTAATGGTACGCCTACTTAGATTCGACCACAAAAATGAAGGAAAGATTATTACTTGTATGCTGGAAAATAATTGTAATTAAAATGAAATCAACAGGCCGCTGGGAACAGAACAAACCTCAACTTTACAACAGAGAAATCACTCAAACTGATGACATTCATACATTGTTTGGAGCAGTAACGTTTGTTTAGCTGTCTATGCTTAAGATAAGAAGCAAGAGAAATGTATTGAAATGCTGGCGTTGTACATACACACTTTTCTATCTCCAATTCATATGTATTTGTATATCTATTTTCCTTTTTACATTTGCATGTTTTGTTAATTTCTTTACTTCTTTATTGTACCATATATTTGTTATTTATTTATACATTTTCAGATTTTTGTATAGGTGCCGATATTTCACTTTCTTTATAACAAAATGTTTAATACTTCCCTTCCCCTGTGTTGCTATTTATATATATTTGATCAAATGCAACACCCTTTTAACTGTTTTTAAAACTATGTTTCTCCTCTGACTCTAACCAAACCATCATGTCTGGTTGAGACTTCTTGATCTTATATTTTGAGAAATGTGTTGAAATCCTGGCATTGTTCATGCAAATGTTTCTACCTCCAGTGAAGATGTATTTATATATCTATTTCCCTTTTTAATTTGTTTGTGTTAATTTTTTGCCTTTTTTTTGTATCATATCTTTTTTATTTATTTATTAATTTTCAGATTTTTGTATAGGTGACAATATTTTACTTTCTTTATTACAAAATGTTTAATATATCAATTCCCTTTTGTTGCTATTTATATATATCTGATCACATGCAACACCCTATGTCTCTCCTCTGACTCTAACCACACCATCATGTCTGGTTGAGACTTATTGATATTTTATTTTTAGTCTGAGCCCTGAGCCCAGGGGGGCGGGGGGGGGGGGAGCCCATCTCTCCTCCCGACCACAGGCCGTTTGGATCGGACTCGTCTCTTGGGGGGGGGGAATGAAAAGGCTCAGTCCAATTACTGGCTGAGATGCCAGTAATTGGACTGGGATGCCCCCTTCAAGAGCAACCGCACTCACGACACCCAACACTCACCACACGGTGTCTCTGAGCACTGAATGCATCTGCCCTGTGCACGGCTCACATGTCACTGATCCTAAAGCGTCTTCTGTGTTGTGTAACAGGCAGCTTAGTGTGGCTGAAGGGGGCGTTTTGTGTTTGATTGTCATGTGTTGCAGAAGAGTGACAGGCTGCATGATGGGATGCAACGCAATGCAACAGCTCTGCATGCTACACATCCTGCTTTAAAGGTCACCTATTGTGCAAAATCCACTTGTTCATGTCTCTTCTACATCAACATGTGTCCCCTCTTCTTCATGTCTCTTCTACATCAACATGTGTCCCCTCTGTGTAAAGAGATTCTGAAAGTCTCAGTAACAAAGACCCCCTCTCTTTTGTCCTGATCCATTTCTATAAAAACCTGTCTGAAAATGAGCTGATCAGATTTTGGCCACTTTATGATGTCATAACGATGTTTTGTCTTGTGTAACCATTAGCCAATCACCA